TTTGTAGTAAAAATTTATAGCCAAAGGAAGAGCTTAAGAAGTTCAATAAATTCTTTTTGTTCTAGTTGATGAAGGTGGGCTTAAAAAGCCGGCTTTTTTAGTTTTGAAATCAAATTAATTGGTTTAGGGCTATACATTAGGCTTAATTTTTTTCAGTTAGTTTACTCTGAACGCTCATTTGTTAAAATACTGTTAAAGAGATTAATTGAAAGGCATGTTTGATGAATTGGAATGGAATTTGTAATGAGTTTTTTTTTTCGTTTTGTTTAATAATATAGTCGCTCAGATTATATATTTCTCAACTCAAGCCTTAAGCCGCTGCAGACGTAATAGTAATACACTTGATAAACGATAGCGAATACTTAAACAGTCGTCATGACAACGTTCAGATCCTTAATTTAAAAACTTATGAAGCGAAAGCTTTCAAGTTAAGATATTTTGACGTCACATTTGGTGGTCATATTTTTTTCAGAATCTCCCCCCCTCCCCCCCAAAGGCGTTCCTCGCTTTTTTATAATCACACGCGTGTGCGCAGAGAGTATGCGCAGAAATAAAACGCATTTCAAGTAGATTGTGCAACAAAAAATAAACATGCATTTGTGGTACTGGACGGATTTTTAAGATTAACCGACAAACTGTCCAGGAAATCTTGAAACTAAACGCCACCAACCAAAATAAAATAACAACATAAACTATTTATTTCCTAATTATTGAATTCAAAACTGTTTTTTTTCTTGTTATTCGCTAGGCCAACATTTTGAAAAGTACTTCAGCCTCGAATTCATGTAATTTCCTTAATTCAAAATGGCCGCCATTCAACCCTTGAATATACTAAAACTCCTTATCCGTATTTTTAGCAATTTCCTGCGTAAGGCTCTAAATTATTATCAAAAATTAAAAAGCTCCATATATTTCTTTCATTATTGTAATATTTTCTAAGGTTCAGCATGCTAAAGACTCTGCTCTCTAGTCCTGCCCAGATGAACGGATTTCAGTCAAGATGGCCGTCATCTTGTTTTGAAAAATGTCGTGTTTTTGGTTGGTTTTTAATGTATTTATACTCATGTTCTTGTAATTTCAATCTAAGAGACAGTATTATTTTGTTGTTGTTTATCCAAGCAGAATCCCATTTACGTTATTTTACTCATAAACGTTTAGCACTTAATAAAATCAAGTTCTGGGCTGCCTTTGGTGATGCATACAAATACAATCGGTCCTGGCCTCAATAACCCCAGATAAAACCTCATTTTTTAAAGTTTAGTTTTTATTTCAAGAGTAAACAACCATTGGTAATCTGATGCTTAAAATTATTTCTTAAATTTCATTAATCCAGCTATAAAATTTGTGTTGGTTATTTCAAGTAATCAGACTTCTTGAAAAGCAGCTCCGACATAAAGACTTTTGTGATTTATCTAAATATTATTAGTACAGGCTAGAATAAGAGGCTTAACTTTAATATTTGAAAACTGCTAATTGAGTTTTGGATCAATTGGCACCAACATACTTCGTTTAATCTTTAGATTTTGCTTTTTAGATTATTATTGTTATCATCGAACAAATCGGATTTTCATATGATTAACAAACACTCAAGCTCTTTCTTCTTCTACTGCTTCGATGAAAGCTACGAGCGAACATTAAAACAGTCAAGTAAATGCTAGTTTTAATCACGTGTTATTCCCTTGAATATTATTCATTTTTTCAATGGTAAATCGAGAAGGTACATTAATATGGGCGTAACAAAAGGTTTGTGTCAAGACTGAAATACTACTTCTTCTTGTGTCAAGACTGAAATACTACTTCTTCTTGTGTCAAGACTGAAATACTACTTCTTCTTGTGTCANTTCTTCTTGTGTCAAGACTGAAATACTACTTCTTCTTGTGTCAAGACTGAAATACTACTTCTTCTTGTGTCAAGACTGAAATACTACTTCTTCTTATTTACTACAACAACCACTACTACCACCACTACTGCTGCTACTGCTACTGCTACTGCTACTGCTACTACTACTGCTACTGCTGCTACTGCTACTGCTACTACTGCTGCTACTGCTACTGCTACTGCTACTGCTACTGCTACTACTACTGCTGCTGCTACTGCTACTGCTACTGCTACTGCTACTGCTACTACAATAATATGTTGTAGACAGAAATAATCAAAATAAAGAAAGCAAAGCAAAGAAATGAAAAATGAACTAATTAATATATCCAAGTCTATATTAAACCGGCCAAAAAAAAACTATATATCATGTCACAAAAGACGAAGACTTGTACACCACCAAAGAAGGGAGATGGAATCCAATTTTCATTAACTCTGATTGAATTTGTAGCTGGTTTCCGATTAAGTTTGATGCCGTCTAATCTGATGAAGAACTGAAGCAAAAAGGCGTGGAAAATCACACGAATCTCGCAAAATATCTTCGACTTCCTAGAATATCTCTAAGTTTATGCTTTTTGATCGTTTATCAGGCTCAAAACTTTGTAAAACGTTCGGTTGGAGAAAGAATTCCACCTAAGCGCATTCATTTTTGCGCAAAATCTGATTTTTTAGAATCAAAGATTTTATGATGCGCAGTTTATCGCTGAAAAAAGCGCATTGGTTAGTTGTTTTTGATGTTTTAGGCTTGTTAATACTTAATATTCTAGTAAATAAAGTTCGGATTAAGAGATAACGAAACAGTAAGCCGCCACTACGCTGATGTGCTAGAATGCTTGATACGGCGACACAAAGTCAGGGCCGCTAAATCTAAATCATGATTCCTCGTGCCTGACTTAAAAGATGGCCAACGATAACGAGATACAAGTGAACTAACGTTCCATCAAATGGCTACCCGCATTAGACAACCAGGCTCTACTCTATCGCTAAACGGCGCTAGTAAGACTAGCAAGGTAGGACAACTTAACTGAAAAGGCGATTAACAAGATTACACGGTTCAAAGAAACAGTCTAATCAAACGGCTTAAATCTAATCCGTACGGATTGATACCACGTACACAGATTTTCTGCGCGCGTTTTTGGAACCCTCATTGCCGGTGTTAGTAGCTGATGGTACGTTTCTGTTAAGTGTAGCCCGGAGTGTTCAGATTTCTTGATTCTACTGCGCAACTTATTGAGAATAACTTAAATAGACTGAACTGTTATGTGGATTTTTCTTGAGAAAAAAAAAAAATAAACTGCAGCAAATCCAACGCATAACTTGACAAAATTCTGCAACACTCCGTTCCGTGTTATATTTCGTTTTTTTTTAAATCGGCAAATCTATCATGGGAACTTTGAGTGGATAAAGGAATGAGTACCTTGGAGTCTTAGTCTTTTATTTTATTATTTAGTTTCCTTTACCGCCTCCTCAAATACGCAAGTTTAACTCGATGCGCAAATAAATGCTATAAGAAGAAACATGTTTTTGACTGGTTTTCGACTCGAAGCACGCGGCTGCGAGACACAAGTGTATCGTTATAATCTTATACGAATCACGAGTCCTCGCTTTCTAAACGAATTCTTTCTTGGCTTTATTTCGTTGTTATAAAAATCAATAAAAAGGTGAATTAACCCAAGAAAAAAGTATGGAATGTAAAAAACACTCTGTCGAAAATTCATCCGAAACAATATTCACGAAATAAAAAATTGCATTGTAGAGAAAGACGCAAAAAATCACGAAAAATGCGGAAAAACCGTGAAGATGGCTAGTAACATGCTTAGCGCTCGGGCAGACAGACAGACAGACAGACAGGTGTTGCTTTCCTTGCGTCGTGTGTTCGTTTACCACAGGACAAAAAGGTAACAGTTGTGCGCACAAGAAAAAAGTTGTGCGCAGAGCGAAATTAGAATTTGATGCTGTCTGCGCCAATAAACAGCAGATTTTGTGTTTTGAAATCTCATGGTTTGTGCGGACTGCCAAGCCGTGTTTTTTACGCGAACACAAAATCCGCTAATTTTTTCGCGCATATACTTTTTTCACCTGACACGATTTGTCAGACAACTTTCTCGGCCACTGCTCGAAACTCTAGCTTTCTTTAGTTCACTAATATTCTATACATAGTTAGTATTATTAGAATTTAATAAAATAAAAGTAGAAAATGCAAGTTATATATTCTATTACTATTGGAGGAGTTGTAGTCGTACGGCGCAGGCGATTTCTTCTTTGACTTCGGGTTTCAGTAAGTCTTTCACCTATGAAACATTAGAAATTAGTTATGTCCTAAATGGAGGTAACTGATTAATACCTTTGTGCACAGGAAGCCCAGCCCGGCTTATGCGTTATACACTTTTCACGTCATTAGATGAAACTTGATATTACTCCAATATTGTCAAACTACTTATTACTAGAATTTCATTGGTTTTCACTAAGGTAAGCTAAAGGAAAAGCTATCATTTTACTTTGACAAGGCGGGAATTGGTTGCCCAAATCTCCGGAGCCAAGGGCTCATGTAAAAAGCGCACGAAGCTCCACACCAGCCTGTAGTAATCAAGGACAGCGGTATTTATCTAATAAGGAAAGAGCTATCGACTTATTCAAAGCGCGTGCGCGTTTGGTCATACCGAAAGGTTTAGATTTTGAACAGAGTGTGGCTGGGGCTGCGGGGTTTCTGGGTGTAGAGGTAAAAAAGGAAGGGAGAGTCTCTTCCTTGCTTCCTTTCCACCCCGAAAAAAAGAACGTGTAATATAGTTTTTTTTACCGAGTATTTCATTGATTCTTCATACGCGTACATCAGGCTGGTGTCAAACAGAAGGATTGACTCCTCGGATAATGCCACGACACAGTTCCGCAGTCGAGCTATGGTATCTCTGTCTGCTGATGTTATCTGAGATGAATAGAGATAGAAAAAAAAGATAAAAGAAAGAAAGAAAAATGAAACGAAAAAACAAAAACAAAAACAAATAGAAAGAAATGAAATGGGAGGAATGAATGAAAGAAATTAAATGAGGGGAAAAAAGGAAAAAAAGAAAAAACAAAACAAGAGAAAAATGAAACTAGAAAAAAGGGGAAAAATGAAATGAAATGAATGGAATCAAGAGAATATTAATGTTATATTAATTAATTAAATGGGAGGAATGAAATGGGAGGAATGAATGAAAGAAATTAAATGAGGGGAAAAAAGGAAAAAAAGTAAAAACAAAACAAGGGAAAAATGAAACTAGAAAAAAGGGGGAAAAATGAAATGAAATGAATGGAATCAAGAGAATATTAATGTTATATTACTTAATATTCTATAGATGGAATAAAGGGAAAAATGGAAAAAAAGAAAGGACAAATGAAAGAATTAATCACTAGAAACAAAAATAGGAAGGAAGGAAAAGATCGTACTAACCGATTGATAACAACAAAAACAACAAAAAGGCAACGAGATAAAGGAAGCTAAGAACAGAGTTATAAATAACTGGAAAAAACTAGAGTGAGCTGTTTTAAAACTCCATGCAGACTAAGTCACATCCTCGGTTATACCAATTGATATTTTCTCATTTCTAAATTACTCTATTTCGCAAACCTTTATTTTCTATGTTCGGTAATCAAATTAATGGTAGATTTGAAAACAATAACGCACAAGAAAAAGAGTTTATAAGTAAATATATTTATTGAGCGATCTGGGTTTATTCCCGTGAAAAAACAAGAGCAATATAAATTACACAATGTTCGCTTTTTGAAGTAGGTCGGCGCTGACATCAAACAAGACGTTCCAAGAGCCGATAACGAGATAAAACAGTCGGCAGGTTAGATGGAACGGATATTTAAAGCGGTGTTTGCTGTAGGAATCGAACAGGAAGAGAGAGATATCCGAAATCTAACATCGACTTTTATTGTGATGCTGAGGCGACAGCACCGTTGCTACCTGACACCACCCTTGGTTCCTAGATACATTAGATCATAACCACGTATAATTCCCTTGAGTATTACTCCTTCCTTCACGGGTAATGCCTTAGAAGATCCATTAATATCGATTTAACTCCAAGAAAACATCTTGTTTTAAAGGAACTTAAAAACCTATATACTTGGGAACCCTGCGTTGGAAACTCCCATTAGGGACTGGGTTTTTTATAACAGAAAAGGCGAGAAAATGACGTGCGCGTACTAAAAACATCGAAGAGTCGAAAATACGTAGAAATGTATGATTTTCCCGCCATAGTTCGGAGCAAGTACCTTTAACGCACTTTAATCCAAGGACACACAGGGTTCCCATAGGTGGCTTTATATCTAACAGTTCAATACAAGCTAAGAGTAATACCTTTTGAGGTGTGTCATCTATAACCATGGGTTGTTCACCCTGAGTGTCGTTAACCACAGATTGTTCCTGTACCAGAGGACTGATCCATATGTACCCATTATTACCCATGATTACTGTCGCTCCACACTGAAGGTTATGGAAATGGGTTTTACAGTGTTTAACCATTGTAGGAGGTATCTGTACAAGGGTACCTTGGCGAAGCTATTGTGGGAAACAAGTGGTTAGTGTGAGGTCACTGAGGATCAAACTATGGACCTCTTGCTTAGCAAGCAGCACACTAACCAAGCAAGCCACACTTTTCCTTCAAACAAGTGTGTGA